ACTGATGAAAAAGCTAACTTACAGTTACCAAAGATGGCTTTCTATTTAATCCATTTGAAAGTATAGGTGAAGATCAGAAAACATTATAATTCTGATTCTTCTCAACTTGTCTATCTCTAGAACCTGTTCTTAAGTGAGGAATAAGAATAATTCCCATTTATACCAAAAGCCATTCCAACCCAACATCTTTGTATACCTATAGCATCTCCCTTTGTGCAGTGAAGGGTAACCATTCTTGAAGAATCAGAATCATAACTTCTATTCTTCCACCTCTGATAAGTACTTTAAACATAGAAAGTCTATTATAGACTTTCATCAAGAAAATGTGTCTCGTAGGGGCCTACATTTTGCTGCAGATGGACTGTTATTATAGTAGAGCTTACAGGGTCTGGGATGAAACACATGCAGCTTCTTTTAGGAAGGGTCACTCTCTTAACTAAACAAGGCCATGAGGTAGATAGATAAGGTCTTCAATCGGCCAGACCAACCCAAGCGGACTTTCTCAATCTGCTATAGCAACAAGATGGCCTCTCCACCCAATACAATATTTCTTAACTCAAAGTATAATGGGCCTAATTCACAAATGCAGAGCAAATAAAACAAGGCAGCTCAATTTCATATCCCTGCACCTGTAGAGCACTTTATCATGTGCAGAGCATTTACAGCTGTCATTGGTTCTCCCAACACTACCATGAGGTGGGATGGACAGTATTATTTTTCATTAACCAATGAACAGGCAGAGACAGGGAGAGATGAATCACATAGCAGCACTCATACAAAAGCTTGAGGCTGCACTGAGCTGAGTCTCCTGAAAACCAGCAACACTTTTCATTTCTCTGTGGAAGCCCTGGCCATTTGGGATTTGAAAGGCCAGTGGCCATCCTCACCCCTTTATTTTTATTTCTTGTAGACTCTGCTCTAATACTTTGACTCAGAAGCAAGAGAACTTGACTTTTAAATAAATCACATCCAAGCCTGGAACTTCTCCATTCTAAAAATATTTCCTATGCATCCCTAAGATTCCTTATTGCTCTCTCTACAAATCAGAACTCGATAAACAAGCTTTGCTATGAGGTATAACACTAGTTACCTCCTGTCTCTCTTATCACTTGCCTAGTAATATGTGTCAAAGTACTCAAGTTGTAACAGAGATATATTTATTCTGGCAGTGCATATCCCCATATTTTCCAGATGGCTAGATACAGATCAAGTCATAAAGAGCACTTTCCAAAATACTTTGCTCCTAGAAAAGATACAGGAGCTAAAAACTAAAGTCCCCAGAATCCAAAAGCTTCCTACTTTATGTCATTCATTGTTTCAGTCATCTGAAATAATAATGTAGAGCCTGGAAGACCAGTAGCTTAGAATGTGGGGAGAAAGTCTTTGTCTAGGATTCTATGAATAAGGTGACAAAGTTTATATACAGACTCTTGTTTTCTGCCCTATCACATCTATGACTACACAGAATATCTGTTTGTGTGTGTGTGTGTGTGTGTGTGTGTGTGTGTGTGTGAGAGAGAGAGAGAGAGAGAGAGAGAGGGAGGGAGGGAGGGAGGGAGGGAGGGAGGGAGGGAGGGAGAGAGATCAGGGCCTGGGCACTGTCCCTTCATATTTTCCTTCAAGGCTTCCCCTCAGTCACAGCTCTACCTCCAGCTTATTGGTGATTAATTAAAGATAAGAACTTCCCAGACTTTCCTGTCTGGGCTGACAGTGAATCTCAGTTCTCAGATCTCAGCCTCCTGAGTAGCTAGGATTACAGGCAAAAGCCACCAGCACCCTGCTCACAGCATATCATCTTAAGAGACTGGAAACAGTCTGAATATATATTCCAAGACATCATAGGACATTTCAGGCAGAGCCATATTGGAGCTAAGCTCTGCTAGGCCACTATCATGGTGATCCAACTATGATGCATTTACCACTGCTACCCGTACCAAGCTGCAGGGACCCTGGCAGCCAGCGCGCGCTTACCTAAGGTCCAGCTCCCACTTAGAACTCGGGCCTTCCAGAGACAAGCATCCAGCAGACATTTGCTCCAGTATGACAGTAATGATAAATAGAGTAAGCAACTAAACTTTGCCACTTGAACACAGGATTATTTTCAGCTGAAGGCAATTGAGGAAAGGCAGATTTTAAGAAACAACAACAACAACTCTGCACTTTGCTGTTTACCTATAAGTAGAATATAAATTTTATAAAGGCATCCTCCCATCCTCCCTTCTCTTTCTCTCTTCTCTACCAGGAAGCACCCATACATCACTAGCAACAAGTCTAGAGCCTTATCAATGCAGAGATGGCACGAAAGAAGTCTATATAACAAACCCAACTAGTCAGTCCTTATTTTCCAATAGCTCCCTTTACATTTACCCTCTCACAGACTGCTACTCCAGGTACCTCCAAGTCTTTTTCCTTTATCTTTCCATTTCTTAATATAATACATAAACACAAGTTCTTATCATACTTTTTATACATGCACTTGAGGTTCCCTAGGCAGCTATGTTAAATGCACCCTTTTCTCCTGTTAATCTGACTTTTGTCAGTCTAATTGTCAGGGCTCCAGTTACTAAGCCTATAAGGAGTGAAAGATTTCTCCCCACCCCCTTACCTGTGAAGTCTTCTAAGATGTTCTTTGATTCTGTGAACATTAATCGACACAGGGAATGCAAGATTGAGGCAGGACTGTTCCTTTAAATTCCCAAGTGATCAGAGTTTGCAGATCAACAGAGAGATTCCTTTTACGCCTCATCCTTCTTTCTTTCTTCTCTCCATTTTCTCCTCTGGGGATGCTTTAGGGCCATCAGACAGGCCTTCAATGCAGGCCCCATGGCACACAGGCTGCTGGCTGCCCAGGGGATGACTCCTGACTAGGAAGCTGGGCAAAGAGTGGGAAAGTCCTACCTTGCCAAGTATGAAGCTGATTTCACCTCATTTCCCAGCATAGATACTGGAAGTAGACACATGATTGTCGAGCTTTCCTGGTGGCACCTACGTGCTTTTGATGCTAGGCTTTGCCAGACAGTCCAGCTCAGATCCCAGCAGTGCCTCAGAGATGGCCCTCAAGTAGCTAGCTAACTCCTCTGAACCTTATTCTTTTCATCTGTAAATGAGGGCAAAATGCCCATTTGTAAACAAATTATTTGTGTAAAGTTTCCAGAACAAGGTTTCATACATTTCACATTCCCTTGCCTTTTCTGCTACTACCAAAAGGAGAGAATCAAATAATTAAGCCAACACAGAGGAACACAGCTCTTGCAAACCTGTTTTCTTCTTCTCCTTTTGCTATGAGCAATCCGAATCACATCCACTTTTGCAACAGAAGCTGTGGCACGTGGACTCTTAGTAATCAGCACTCACAGCCCAGGTGCACCCTTCCTTGGTAAGGAGGAAAATGTTGACAAAATTCTGAGACCCAAAAGTTAAACCAATCAATAGCCTTTAGCTTGGCTGCACCTTGGAATTAAATGAAGGATATGAAAATATACAAAGGTGGTATTTTTCTGATTTCATTGATCTAGGATAGGGTAAATGGTTGTTAAGACAAGGGTGAGGCATGAGTATCAGTTTTTCAAGGCTCCACACTTGATGCAAATGTGAAATGGCCAAGAGCCAATGGCTTCAAGTTGAACAGACAGGCCTCACTCCAGAGAAAACTTTGGCTTTTATTGTCTTCCATGTATGGACTTTATCGTCGCCTCTGTACAGATGTCCCTGTCAGAGACTGATTTAGAACATTAATACGTTTGTTTCCTGGGGGCTTGCAGTTAGTTCTAGCCAGCAATCATTAAAGGGAGCCTTGTTCTATTCTTTTTGTTTTTCACATTTTAAATTTTAAATTCACTCCAAAAGTCTCAACCACCATCGGATCATTGTGTCAAGAAAACACAGCATGCGCACTGTAGAGAGTGGGCTAAAGTTAGGCCTCTGGTGCTTGTTACGCTCACTTGGAGACATTTTATGCTTCTAATTTGCGGTCTAGTTTTATTCTCCAGAGTTACATGCAGAGGTCCTAACAGCCAGTCAGCTAGGGAAGTAGGAGGGTTTGAAGGGAGGTTAGGGACAGCTGAAAGAATCAGAGCTCTTTCCTTAGGGGAAGAATTTTCAGATAGCCACATTCTAGATGTCATGCTATTAGATCTCTGGCCAGAACCGCAACATCTGGGGAAAGAAGTAAGGACACTCCAGTTGGAGAAGGCTTCCTGCAGTCTTTCCTGGAGGGATCTGTTAAATGAAAATAATTGGTGACTTCTTGTGTATGCTGCCACCTGCTGGGGAAGGGATTTATTTCATCCCACACACAGCAACTCACATGAGAAGAAAGTCACTCAGCCTCCACCAAGGTCAAGTTCAGATACCTGCCTCCCAAGTTTAATGCTGTTACCTCCCCCCCTACACACACACACACACATGATTACACGTTTTTCTTGAGACCATACACTTCATTTACAATCAAATTGAGGTGGCTGCTCTGAGATCACTAAGGGATGGCCCAGTGTCCTTGACCAGGTTTCCAGGGTCTGATCAGTTCTCTGATCAGCCTGGCAGATCCACCTAAACTCAGATGCTCCCTACTTAAGCGAATGATTTGCAATGCTTGTTCTCACAAACATCAGTAGAGACTTACTCCTTCTGGCCCAGCTCAAATCCCTTAACCTCAGACTCAGGCATTTTACCCTTTGGATCTGGCAGCATCTCGTCTCTCCTCTTTACAAGGTGATCCTCCTTTCATGAATCCTCATTCCATTCACCTGCAACAGCCCCTGCTTTGGGAACAATTAGGTCCTGGCAGCACCTCTTCCTAGAAGAGGTGGGAAGCTTGCCTCTTCTCTCCCAATCCTCGCTCTGGTGTTTGTCCAAGATGAGAGGCCCTATTGGGTCACCCACGCTCAAGAAGCCTTTGTGGAAGCCACAGAGTCATAAGGACCAAACATTCCCCACCGTTGAACAATGTTGACAGACAAAAGCCAAGAAGTCGAAGACAGCATTGCCTCTAGAAGCGTTTAATCAACTAGGATAGGAGAGAGGGTGAGACCATCCATCTCCATCCTGACTATGCCCCATATCACTGAGGCCTACACCAGAGAAGTTGATGTCTGGACAGGACTGAGCCATCCATTTTTTTTAATATACCAAGTGTTTCAAATGTGAAGTCAACATTCAGACCTACTGCAACAAATGCAACCAAATAAGTTGAATGTGGTATCCAACTATAAGACGAAGGTGCTAAGGCAGGACTTGCATGTTGAGTGATCTGTTATAAAAGCAAATGGGAGAAGCTCCTCCAAGGTCCAAAAGAAGAATTCTTGCTATGAAATTAGTGAGGTGAGTGCCCTGCTGGGTCAGCTTGTGGGCAGAGATGGGAGGGACAGCCTGGGAGAGAGGGAGGCACAGAAGACACTGTGGACAAAAGGAAAAGTACTCATTGCCTGACGCATGTAATTGTAATCCCTTTATTCATCAGCTTTAAAATAACAATAAAGTAACTTGAAAAATAAACAAACAAAACTTAGAAGCTTCCCCTCCAAAAAAAAAAAAAAAAACGAGTAAGATTGTTCTAGAGTAGTAAATGTGGTAACCATCCCTACATTGTTTAAACTGCCGTGAGCTGAGGACCTCCTGTTCTCACCTTCCTCCTCGTCCTTTTGGTCACAGTTGTTAAGTTTTTTGCTCAGTGTTTTGTTGGAATTTGCCATCCTCAAGTGACCTTCTCCTCCGACTTTTGTTCCACAGTTCAGCATAGCCTCCTGGTAAGAAGGCTGAACTGTCCTCAATGGAAACCCCGTAGGCCAGAGGTGCAATCTGCCTAAAGCCCAGAACCAAGCAGCTCTCCCAGCCCAGGTGCCTTCCTTATCCTAGTCTCAGCCCTCTAGATTGTGTCACTCTGATGATAAAGGAAATCCTTTCCTAGAAGAGGAGTGAGGAGGGTTTGTCCCACAAGCCTTGGGTGGACTGACCACATCCCCCACTCAAGATCTTCCCATCCCCCGAGTATTTCCAGTCCTATCCTAACCCCATCCATGGTCATATAGACAAACTACACTTGAGGAGCCAGAAGAATAAGGCCAGACCTCCTGCCCAGGAAATGATAGCAAGTCAGCCTCTTACGTAAACAAAAAGCGGAACCTGTAAAACCAGAACCCAATAAACGCGTGAGACTTTGTATCCATTCTCTAAATGTTCCATGGATAGGGTGAGGTGGGAGGCGGAGCAGACAAGAGTTGAGATCCATGCACAAGGCCATGAACTTGAGTAACCCTGCTAGACCACTGACTAGTTTCTGCAAATGTTCCCTGTAAGTTGTGCATACAAGCACATTCGGAAGCCCCACTGTGTAGTTTTCCTGTCTAGAGGGGATAAGCACTTTGCTCCTAGCATTGTCTAAGATTTCCAAGAACTTGGAATCAAGGCAGCTGTTTCCCACACTGGAATTTCAAGTTATCCAATGGATGTCCAAATACATATTCAGGCCCCTGGAAGGAGACATACCAAACCTATCTGGGCTGCAAATAGAAGAGAGCAATTTCCATTGTTTTGCTTTGCTTTTTATCCCTTCTGCCTCATGCATAGAACCTAATACAATATAAAAAGATCGTAACAAATGTGAAATACAAAAATAAATGTCTTTCTCTTTAAAGCCCACAGTTGCAAAGCTACTTTATCATAAAAAAAAAAAACTTGGAATATTTAGTTCTCTTTTATCAGCCTCTCTCTCTCTCTGTCTTTGTGTCCCTCTTTTTCTCTTTCTCAATCTGTTTCTCTGTCTCCCTCTCTCTCTTTCTCTCTCTTTCTGTATAAGTTCTAAGGCTTGAAATCAAGCCCTGGCACTGCCCATAAGCTTTTTCACTCAAGGATAGTGCTCTATCACTTGAACTACACCTCCATTTTTTTACTTTTTTTGGTAGTTAGTTGGAGGTAAGAGCTTCACAGACTTTCCTGCCTGGGCTAGCTTCAAACTAAGATTCTCAGATCTCACCCTGCTAAGTAGGTAGAATTACAGGCATGAATCACCAGTGCCTGACTCCCAGACTCTCTTTTCATATTTTATTCCAGAACCTACTTATAACCCTTTCACTGTAAACCCATGAGGTTCTAAACATTAATGAAGATTTTCAGGAAAACTTACTGCTGATCCTGAACCGTAAATTTTTATAAAATATGAGTCCTTTCTCAGTTTTCACAAAAAATAAAAAACACTGGGGCTATAGCTCAGTTGGTAGAGCACTTGCCTAGCTAGCATGTGCAAATCCATGAGTCCAAGTTCTAGTACTAAAAAAAGCCCAATACATACATAATTATACATATTTGCATAATTTTAATGCATGCTTTTATTTGTATATCTATACATAAATACACATAGTTTACTACTTCTTTGAACTTTTTGTTAATGTTGGTAGTACCAGAATTTGAACACAGGACCTCAGAGTTGCTAGACAGACACTTTATCACTTGACTATACTCATAGTCCTTTTTGCTTTGGCTACTTTTTGAGAATAAAAGTATCACTTTTTGCCCAGTCTGGATCACAATCCTCCTACTTATGCTTCACATCTTAGCTGGAATGACAAGTATGCACTATGGATCCTGGCTTTTTCTGTTGAGATAGAATCTTGTGAACTTCTTGCCCAAGTTGGCCTCGCACCATGATCCTCCCGATACCAGCCTCCAAGTACCTAGGATAATGTCTTTGAAAAGCAATGTGCTGGGTGTTTTGAGCTCTTCAGAGAAGTGATTCTATAAAAATCTTAATTTTTTTCAGAGAAGCAAGAAATGCCATTCCATGGTTGCTGATTCTAAGATAGAGCAATGCTCTGAAAGTTCACTGAAGTCTTTCTACACACTTCACAATCAGCATAACTTGGTGTTCTCTTTGAGGGAAGCAGAAGCCTCCAACCATCCCAAGGGGCAGAGCTATTTCTGAAATTTAAAAAATAACCTTCTCTTATCTCCTTCTTGTGTCCTGTTTCACCTTGGTTCTAGAGAGCAGTCTTTTACATACCTACTCTGTCGACGTGGCATTTCTTCTACTTAGCATAGATTCTTAGATCTCAATTTTAAGATCTCCATTTTAAGGCCATCCCTGGTAAAGTTAGTTAGCTCATTTCTCAAAAATAAAGGGGAAGGATGATGTAGGGCTCAAATGGTGCTTACCTAGAAAGCTGGATTCATTCCCCAATTGTGAAAGCAAAAAAAAAGGACAAGGCTAACCCCCAAGAAATATGTGTGTATGTATATGTATATATATATACACGTGTATATATATACATATATATATATATATATAATTTTTTAGTCCTTCCCAAGGCTTGAAAATAAGACTGCCCCAATTTCCTGATAGCTGATTATCCACCACATAGAAAAATCAGAAGATATTCATCAATAGCCCACAGTGTATTGTATATCTCTTTGGAACATTTCTGTGAGACAGACAAGGGAAGGTCAGGCCAATTAAACAAAGCCTTCATAAAGTAAATCAGAATGATGCCAGCTTCTAGTAATTGTTTCAAAACAGTAATCACTAACCTAGTAAGTGGTGAGTGTACAGTTCTAGATCTGGGCTGGGAGTCATGGGGTGGGAATAGGAGGAGGCCATCTTTTTTTCCTTTCTTTCTTTCTTTTCTTTTCTTTCTTTTCTTTTCTTTCTTTTTTTGTCAGTTGAGGGGGTTGAACTCAGCCCTGTCCCTGAGCTCTTCAGTTCAAGTGTCCTACCACTTGAGCCACAGCACCACTTTCAGCTTTTTTCTGCTATGTGATGCTGAGGAATCGAACCCAGGGCCTCATGCATGCAAGGCAACCACCTGAGCCAACCTCCCAGCCCCAAGGGGAAGCCATCTTAAATGATGTGAAAGAATGATGTGCCTCAAGAGGATTAGAGAGATTGAGAGAGAGACAGACAGAGACAGAGAGAGACAGAGAGAGAGAGAGAGAGTGTGTGTCATGGATCCTAGAAGAGCCGACGAAGGCTCCCTGGCAGAGGTGGCATCTGTTCTGAGTGTTGGACTGCACCAGCATGAGCCAGGCAAGACACAGGGGAGAAGGCGGAAGATGTCAGGCAGAAGAGACAGCTCTCTCCAGAGATGGGAGCGTGGGAGATGTTTGGAGCAGCTGGAAGCGAGGAGCATAGTTGGAGGCGTTCTGAAGTTTGGAATGCATCCTTAGACAACAGGGAGGGAGCCTGTGGGGGCTTTAAGACAAGGTGTTTTAAATCAAGCTATGCTAACTAGAAGTCTGTCTGGAAGAAATGTGGAGGATGAATTCAAGAGGGAATAAACTAGGGAGGAAAAGGGCGGGCACAGGCTCTCCTCGTCCTCCTCCAGAAAGCATGCAGGTCCCCTCTACAGCATCATGGTCGCGTTGTCACCAGGAAACATGTGAGCGCATTCTGGGGAATCAGCCAGACCTCACGCAGACTGTCAGGCAGAACAACTAACACTGCAGAGGCAACTGTCCTGTTCTCGTGAATCAAGCATTCAAACAAGATGCAGTGGTTCTGCTGGCAACTTGTCTGAGGTTCTAACATCACCTGTGATCGCTTTAAAGTGGCAAGTTCCACAGCAGACCTTCTGGGACCTGACAAGGTGTGAATTCGTTAACTGCTTCCAATGGCAGCAAAGATAGCTAAGGACTCTTGCTCTAGTCTTACCATCTGAGCCAGCAGGGTAGGGGTCAATGTATGAAGCCCTAAAAATCAATTCCACATTGGAGTATGAGGAGATAGAGTGACCAGGACTGGTCCCTCAAAGTACATTTCAGAAGATCGAGATCTCTGCTCCTATTTCCTTCTAGAACTATGAAATTATGTCCTTATTTTTTCTTCTTTCTTCCTTCTTCCTTCTTTCTCTCTTTCCTTGTAGGAAAAGTGGCTGAATTGAACTACAGTTTTTTCTTTTCCCCCCTAAAGAAAAATCAATTACTCCAAAGGCACTTTGAACCATTACTATTTGAAATGGCATCTCCTTTAAGGCCAAATAGATCCTCTGGTCTCTCAGTTCAAATCCCGTAGGGAAAAAAGTGAGTCATACCAGGTTTTAGGGGAAATGAATTCTCACTTAGTTGTTCTCTGTCTGTCTGTCTGTCTGTTTGTCTCTCTCTCTCTCTCTCTCTTTCTATGTATATCTTTCTGTCTGTCTCTGTCTGTCTGTCTCTCTCTCTGTCTCTCTCTGCAAAAAAAGAGATCTCACATATGACAAGGAGAACACACAGGAGAAAAAAATGTACCTTTGTCTCCTAACAAGAAGGCTAGCAGCTAGGCTAAAGACCTCCACTGAGCCCTCAAGCCATTGTTCCCATAGTTTTCTTACTTCCTTTCCACATCTCAAGAGCGATCATAGTCTCACTGGTGTCCACGCAATGCGGTCACAGAGGCAGGAACACGGGCACCATGATAACTAACATTAAATGAGGGCTTGCTTCATGCTGGGCACTGTTCCTATGACTTCAGGTAGGTGGGACACTATTTGACAATTTGAAACTCAGAAGGGTTTAATCAACGTAAAGTAATTAAACAGGAAGATCAGAAGAGACTTAAGCCTAGTCATAGGAACTCCTGTTCTCTGCTGCTGGCCTAAAGGTGAAATTGAGGCAGCAAAGTGAAAGAGAGGTAAAGACACAAGGCGTGGAAGGGTGGAGAGCAGCCCTGGGCACTCCACCTGGCTTCAGAAGGCCTCAGCCAGAAGAAGAGGACTTCAGATAGAAAGCCTAGGGTGTCACCATTCCTCTGGGCTGTATGCATTCATCACAGAGAAGAGATACTTTATAACCTAAGAAAGGCCTTTCAAGTCAACGGCCTGCTCTAAGCTTCTATGACCAAGGGGCAGAACCAGGTCTACTGAAAGATTCTTTTAATGTGTTACAGCTTTCCTACCCAATCCTGGGCTTTTCCTCATCAAAATCGTACAGGCAGTTGGTGCCAACCCCAGGGACACAGGCTTCGGCTGCAGTGGAGAACCCACAGAGCTTACACAAGCCCAACGTCAGGTGACTTCTGAAGGTGGGTAAGTCCACCTCACTGAGCAGGTGTCCTAGGACTGATCATCACAACATGGCAGCCACCTGAAGGGCTGTATGCTCATTTCCCACAGCTATTATAATGGATGGCCTCAAATGGGTTCACTGAAAACCACAGAAATTTCTCTCAGGAGAAATTCTCTCTCAGTCCTGGAGTCCAATACCAGTTTCACTGGGTGGAGATCAAGGTGGGTGCTCCCTCCTGCCAGCTTTCCAGTGGCTGGCAGTGTGTGTTGTCCTGGGGCTGCTTCACTCCAGCCCTTGCCTCTGTGGTCGATGGCCTCTCCTTGCTGTCCTGTACTTCCAGGGTAGTGAAAGAAATCTCCCATCACCACCCACAGAGAAAGATATGTACAACTGACTTTAGGGTCCACCTTCATTACCCAGTAATCTCCCCATCTCTAAATCTACAATGTAATCATATTTCCCTAAGTATGATAATATCCAGGTAAGGAAATAGTCTCACAGGTTCTAGGAATTTAAATGTTTGGGGGGGGGGGGAACCAATTTTCAGTCTACCACAGGTGAAGGGAATTAAAGGTTGTTGTTTCGGGTGGGTTAATGCCCAATGAACAACTTGTGATTAAGTAACTTTCTTAAAGTCACACAGCTACATGCTGAGTGAGCGAGGTTTTAAAGAAAGTGAGGTGCCTCATGACCTATTCAAAATGAGTTAACTTCTGTCAAACATTGTGTCAAACGGCACCGAAATCCCTTTACATGCTTCAGCTACTTTCAAAGTTTATTCAAGCATCCCATAATTTGTGTGTGTGTGTGTGTGTGTGTGCACACGCGTGCGCACATGCGCATGCACGCACATGTATGTGCGCACACACGAACCGTGGGGCTTAAACTCAGAGCCTGGGCATTGTCCTGAGCTTTTTTGCTCTAAGTTGTTACTCCATCACATGAGCCAACCCCACTTCTGGTGTTATTTTGTTTGGGGGCAGTTGTGGGGGAGTTGGTGCTTAATTGGAGATGAGTCTCACAGACTTTCCTGCATGGGCTGGCTTCAAACCATAATGCTCAGATCCTAGCCTCCTGAGTAGCTAGGACTGCAAGTGTGAGCCACCAGCACCCAACTAATCATTTCCTTTAAAAAATTATTTTATAGATTTTTTTCAGGAGAACATAAAAGAAAGGAATTTCCAAGGAATTATATTCATAGAATTCTCATCCATTTCTACTCCAGTATTGCTTAGAGATCTCACTGAAAATAAAATAGGGGATATCCTTTCTGGGAGTGGAAGAGCTGGAGATACAATAAAGGAGCATTGAACAGTGGACATGGAGTCTGTCTACAGAAAGTGCTGTGTACACACCTGCTTAGAGTAGTCCTAATCCAGTCATTTATACGGAATTCCAGAACATCATTGTCTAATACACTATTGTCTTTGCCTTTTCTATTAAACAGCCTACACCCTCTTATTATAAGTCCCTGAGCCTGGGGACCAAAGCAATCTGGACTAAAGCAGGGAGGCCCAGGGCTTAGTGAAGAAGTACCCCAAACTGTATTCTCCCCCAAACCTCTACAGTGTGGACACTTCCACCAGCATCTGCAGCAGCCCTGAGTCAACCTGCCACCAAGCTGCTAGAGGGTAATGACAGAGCATGGGTGGCCGGTAACTGGAGAACCGACCAGTGTGGAATGTGAGCATCCATTGAGTGTCAACAGCAGTCTGGGGAGGTGGAGAGAATGGAAAGAAGTGGGACCAGAAGAGACCGGTGAGTGCAGGGAGGGTTGGTTCCTCGAGGGTCACTTCTCCAGAGACCAGGGGACAGAGTGACATACAGAAGGCCCGAGATGGAAGGATAATCAAAGGCTGTTGTGGAGACTTGTGCATCAAAGCCAAAATAAGAAGCATAATTTCCTGCCTGTTTTCCATAGGACATCCCTAAGCAAAGCCAAAGGCTATAGATAACCCAAGAAGCTCTTACCCCAGGCATCCGGTGGGCTTTGGAGTCTGCACTTATTTTTAAATCAGTGGCTGTCAACAGGCTCCATGCTAAAAATACGTCTCCTCGTCTCCATTTTACCGACTTGAAAATATTGAAGTTGCAAGGGTGTTTCCTCCTCTGCCACCCACTTAGTGTCAACTCAGAGGTGCTGCTGGTATCATTAGTCCTCTTCAAGTGATCTTGATTTTCTTCTGTCATCTTCCAAATTCAGGAATATATAATCTGTTGAAGGAGAACCTGCCTCTCTTTAAAAAAAAAAAAAAAAAACTTGTCAGCTAATTATAGCAAATTTAGCAAATCTTGGTTGCTTGTCTCAAAATCAAAAATCCACTCCTTCTTCTCCTGAGGGATAGAAGTTACTAATGTGGATTTTTCACCCTGTCTTGACCTCTAAGGTCTAAGGGCTGACCATCAAAATAAATAAATAATCTTGGTACAGCTTCAGTCCCTGGATGAAGGCAGCCCCCTAAGACTCTATATACAGACAATGGTAGTACAAACTTAGACAAGATGAGTGACAATTTTCACTTCAGTCCTCTCTGACCTCACTCTTACAATAGTAACAGTACTGCTCCTGAGCGGCCATGACTTCTTTGCAGATCTGCTCCAAATCCTCCTATTTGTGACGTAGGCTTTCTGTATAAAGTCCAATGACAGCTAACCTGAGAGTGTCTTCAGATATGAATGGGATTTTTGGTCACCAGCCTCTTTAGACTTCTGATGCAAGCATGATGAACATGAGGCCTGCTCTGCATTTAAGCCCAACTGCTGCTCCTAAATGGCAAAGAGGATTCCATACTCTTGTCAGCTCTGACTGCAGCGTCTGCGTGGAGAACATTGCTGGGGAGACTGGCTCAGTGGGAAAGAACTCCATGACCCAATCAGCAAAGGCCTGGCAGCACCCAGGCCCATACATATATTTGCCAGTCCATTCAAGATGGAGCCACCTTAAAAGCCAGCATCACTCCTTCCACATCTGTGGCTGACCCCTGTGATTTCAGAGACTACTTCTTTGCTGTGCCTCCTCTTTCAGGAAAACATTCTATTGATAGCAATCCTCTTTTGGGGTACTTGAAGATTTACTTTGAAAGCACAGAGGGCTCTTTAAAGAAAAAGCAGTAGATAAATCCCAGGCAATAATACAGCTATTGTCTGCATTACCTATCTGAAGAAATAAGGCTCTTAGGTCATTGGATTTCTTCAATTGGATTTCAGTACCTGTGAGGCATAGTAAGCTGCTATCAAAGGAGGCTGAGATACATTGGCTCGTATGTCTTTCTAGGCTTCCTCTGTAATCAAAGAGCTTGACATGCTGTGTCAACACCACCTGATCAATCTCTAGCATGCTGACGAAGAGAACACAGGACTGGGGTGTTCCCAAGCACAGAGATGAGATGACCCATGTGTAGACCTACTGGAGTCTAGATCTCTCCCCCACGCCTCACTGGGACATCTTGCCCATGGGTGCTGCCATTGTTCTCAGTCATCTGAGCCAGCACAGCTCTGTAGCCAAGGATCAGGGCCAGTGTGCTCATCTGCCTCGAGTGGCAGATGCTGGGAATACTGTAGCTGACAATCCAGGCAGACAGCTGCAATGTGTGTGTGTACATGTAAGTATGTACATACACACATGCATGCATGCATACATATACATACATATAGTTGGCTCTTTGGTCAGTTCAGGCATGGGGAAACAGGGCTGGGAGGGTAGTACTGGCTTTGACATTGCACAAGTTAGGCTCCTGATTAAAAAAAAAATAGGGTAAGTCCATTGAAATATGATTTAACTCTTTGTCAAACTCTTCAGCATGAGTATCTTCCAGAAAGTGAAAGGACTGTCTTACAAAATTCTTGAGTCAGCATCTACTTTAAAGAAGTATGAGACTAGCCCTTTACCAGTTTTGCTCACTCAGAAGAGCTCTCCTGGACTTTGTTTTCAGTCACCAAAGTCCTTTCTAATTGCTTCAGCATTTAGATTTCTTCTGAATTTTGTTTTAAGTGGCTTCACATTTTGTGTATGTTTACCAATTTAACATGAAGAATCCAACTTGGGAAAAGTACAATGGAATGGACTCCAGAGAAGAGCATAGCCCTGCTCTCTGGCACTTCCTGTACTGAATGTATTCATGGAAAAGTATTTCCCTGTGGTATTCCAGGGAGCATTTACCTACTCACACGACCTCACAGAGCTGTAGGGGCCTTGGGACCACAGCACAATTTCCAATGAGCTGTCTCAGGACACATCCAGAGAAACCCTCTACATTTTTAAGGTTCTAAATGCATTCTGTCTCCTTAGGGTCAATGGCCAAACACAGATGACTCCGAATTATTTTGCCCAAAAGAAATAGAAGACTTCAATCCTTTCCTGCCCCCTGCAGAAATCCTAGACTTGCTTTGCCAAATAGTCCCACACCAGAATTAGTTTATATCTACCTCCTGGAACCATCTCCTGAAAAGGAAGAACCATGTTCATGACCTATTTCCCTTTCAAAACACAAGTCTAGTACAACTCATTACCATCACATGGATTCAACTAGCATACATCAGCAGAACTTGAAATTTCTGTGTGGTAAGTCACTTGGGCTGGCCTTTAACCAAACTGCTGATGTTGATGTCTCTCTTCAACTGTGTATCTTCTCTCAACTCCTCATCTCTCCAAGCCCTGGCAGGTCCCAGTAAATCTTCCACAAAGGTCATAGTTCATCAAAAATCTGAAAAAATAAACCCTGAAAAAGACATGAAGGAATCTGTTATGTGCCTCTTGATGTGCCTCATATTTGTAATTCTCCCAATTATGTTTTTTAATCTCAAGCTTCTAATATTGAATGAGAGGCTTTTCTGTTTTTAATGTGATGCTAGATGTTGGAAACAGTTAAAGTATCTGAAGAGGTCAGGAGAGGGGACAGAGAAGTCTCCCTGGGACATATAAGGTTATTTCTTGCCTGAGAAATGTATCCTAGTGAGAAATTTTTGACTGATTCAAAATTGAATGAGTGCCCAGTTTTGATGATATTCAAGAAGAATGACATGAAGTCATGTCAGTTTTCCCGTATTTTGAATTTTGCCTTTGTCTGAACGTCTCTACAGGAATGCTTCCTATGTGAATGCTCAGGTGTGGAGACTGGCTCAGTGGCAGACACGTGTGCATGTAGATGTGGACTTTTTGGATGGCTACATCAAAAATGAAACTGTTGCTGGGAGTAACAAGGAGATTATAAGTGAAGAAGCCGAGAGAAAAGAAAAGAGGGGTGGCACGTTCAAGACTTCAGAAGCAGCTCAACTATCTACAACTCCACAAGGCTTCTGCTATGCCCTGCCCAGTCCTTGCAACTGCCCTTTGAGCTCAGTGTTTCTCAGAATCAGAAATATCCCTTAGTCTACATGAGCCACCATTAGGGGTGATTATTTCATTTTCTGGTTATTATCGTATTGTAAAATACTGGTTCACTGAATTAGCTTGCCTTTACTATGTAGCCCCTAAGGAGACAACAAGGAACACATTCAGATTTTTGGAGTACATTGCCCCATTCTTCTACCCTATTCCTCTGTCTAGGCCCAGTATTGGTGGTATTTTTATGTGTCAGCTTGTTTGGGTTTTAGTACTAATTTGATCAATCAAATACTAACTTAGCTTTGCCTATAAAAATCTCTAATGGGCTGGGAAGGTGGCTCAGTGGTAGAGTGCTTGCCTTGCATGCATGACGCTCTGGGTTCGATTCCTCAGCACCACATAAGCAAAAAGAAAAAAGCCAGAAGAGGCGCTGTGGCTCAAGTGGTAGAGCACTAGCCTTGAGCTGAATAGCTGAGGGACAGCGCCCAGGCCCAGAGTTCAGGCCCCACAACCGGACCCAAAAAAATAATAATAAAATAAAAATCTCTAATTAGTTGACCTCAAGTAAGGAAATTTATTGTAAATAATTCAGGCAAATTTAATCAGTTGACTGAAAGACTCCCAGAGAAACATTGAAGTTTAAAATAAATGTTTCCTAGCTAGGTGCTGGAGGCTCACACCTATAATCCTAGCTACTAAAGAGGCTGAGATCTGAGGATTTATGGTTCAAAGCCAGCCTGGGCAGGAAAGGCTATGAGACTTACCTGTTTTTTTTTTCTTTTTCTTTCTTTTTTTGTCAGTCGTGGGCCTTGAACTCTTGAGCTTGGGTGCTGTCCCTCAGCTCTTCAGCTCAAGGCTAGCACTCTACCACTTGAGCCACAGCACCACTTCCTGCTTTTACTGTTTATGTGGTACTGAGGAATTGAACCCAGGGCTTCATGCATTCAAGGCAAGCACTCTACCACTGAGCAACCTTCCCAGCCCCAAGACACTCATCTCTAATTAACCACTAGAAAACCAGAAGTGATGCTTTGGCTCAAAGTGATAGAGCACTAACGTTGAGCAAAAGAGCTCAGAGATAGTGCCCAGCCCCCTAGTTCAAGCTCTACAACTGATAGATAGATAAATAATAAATAAATAAATACATAAATAAATGTTTCCTGTATATAGAAGTGTTGGCCACTTCCTATTTCAGCCTGCCTGTGATCTAATCTTGAGGATAATCCTTATGGATTTTAGAAGTGCTAAGCCAGCACCACTTACATGTGTCAACTCCTTATAATAACTATATGGATAGAAGGTAGATGGATAAATAGACATAGATATGGATATGGACATAGATACATAGATGTATGGATATAGATCCCATATTTGATCTGCTTTGCTGATTGAGAAGCAGATCTGATACCTGTTTGGTACCAGGATTGAGGTTCATGGAGACAAGGTTAAACAATGATTAATATCCAGATTTCCTTAAACTCCATAAGGGTGCTTAAAACAATTCAGATCAGAATAAAGAAAAAGAAAAATAGTCTCACTATCACCTTCCTCCAGATTCTGAAGCAAAGCTAATAAAATTGGTAAAGAGCCAGCTATGTTTCCTAAGTCTTCAAATCTAAAAACAATAGCATGCCCTAAATCTAGAAAAAAATAGTTGAGTCCTGGTAAGGTAAATCATTTTTCTCCTGAAGGAATAGTTGGTCCCTATCTCTATATCTTAAAAAAAAAAAAAAAAAAGGAGAGCTGATAACCCAGTTTCCTTGGCTTTTGGTGCACAATCTTCTCATGTACTTCCATCCTCTGCCATGCACTGTCAAGGAAGGACTTTAGTTTATTTATTTGTAGTTGTCCACAAATTCTCACAAAGATGACAAACCCTATGGCCTGGCCATCATTCATCTAATAGGGTTTTATTCATATGATTATACTATGTTGTTTTTTGGGGGGGGTCTGGTCGTGGGACCTGAACTCTGAGCCTGGGCGCTGTCCCTCAGCTCTTCAGCTCAAGGCTAGAGCTCTACCACTTGAGCCACAGCACCACTTCCAGCTTTTTTTCTTTTTGCTTATATGGTGCTGAAGAATGGAACCCAGGGCCTCATGCATGCAAGGCAAGCGCTCTACCACTGAGCCACCTTCCCAGTCCTATACTATGTTTTTTATTCTGAGTGCTGGAAATAAACTACTGTCCTCAAAAGCTTTGTAGTTAACTGAGAGAAAAAAACTAGACACTAATAAATGTGAACAAATAAATGATTTCAGAATCTAGTAAGGGTTATAAAGCAGATGAAACTAGGTTATAGGGTAGGAGCAATGAAGAGAGGCTAAAGAAAACAGGAAATTCTACTGCTGCACCACTCTGAACATACCTGATCTCACATGATCTTAGAAGCCCAATCAGGTCAAGACTGGTTGACACTTGAGAGAGATTACAAGGAACTTTCTGAGGAGCTGAGACCTGGAAGGGGGAAAACAAAAGCCTTAAGTGCTTAAATGTTCCCCTCCCTCAAGAGGTAGCAGCTCAGGTTGGCCAATAGGGTTTTGTCAAATGTGATACACAACAATTATTGACTTGATGCTTTTGAGGACCCAGAGTAGACACTTGGGCCAATCTCCTGGGTGACAACATCCACTTGGCCAGTTGCCTTGCTGTCCTAGCTGATAATCTAACAACCACCAGAACCAGCATCTGATACAGGTATGAACCAGCTGACATTCACTGAGCCACTGGAACAAAAAGCCATCCAGATAAATCACAGGACCACATGTTGAACATGTACTGGTAGTTGGGAGCTGCTAAGTTTGTTAAGTAGTACATGTTCACTGAGCCATAGAGGATCTGTATACTCATTTGTGGCACTAGGGGATGGGACCTAGGAGGTTTATAAAGCTCACTCTCTCCCTTGGCATTCAACTTTCTCTATGCATTCCATGCTATTTCCTGACCTACTCTAGGGAGACAATTGCTTTTAAAAGCAAAAGCATTGACTATCCTTTGTTCCAAAGTTGTTGTTTTTTTTCAAGGGCTTTTATTTAGTGAACAGCCTTGGAAAGTAGAGATGGTTCTTCCCTCCAGAGGACAGAAGAGGAATGCTTTGTCCAGTATAAAAGATCAAAGTTCCTTCAGCTCTGAGGTCTTCTGGAATGCACCTCTCCATGCCTTCACAAGTGCTAGCCGGCCCTCATGGTGTCCCCCTGGCACTAGAAATTGCCAGTGATCTGCCACAGCTAACAATGTCAGTAATAAAGTCCCTATCTCTCACCAAGAACCTCCAGTCTTGTGCCAGTCTCCATGTAACTATGGCAGGCTAATTTGTTAACTTCCAAAAGGGTAAAATCTCAGGCCTCCACAGTTCTTGACACCAATTAATCAAAACCTGTGTATATAAGACGATCAGCCAAACTCATGCCGTGAGCTTGCTTAGTGTCTGTAAAGGTTCATTTCTCAGCAAATTACCCTGGAAAAGTACATCGTGTGCCTGTTCCCAGAAACTCCAGGACAAGCACATCTGTACACATCCTTCTTCCTTGAAAGGACACAGGACAAAGGCATGCAGCCAAATCTGTTTTGCAAATCTTTAACAGAAATAGCTAGACAGAGATACACTGAGGACATAGAGAGTTTACAGAAGACGAAGGGGTGGAGTGTGTGGAGCTGATCTAAGTGGTCTTGCGCACAAATTCTGTCTCTGAATTTTCTGAGTTTTTATTTCAATTGTTGAGGCAAAATAATCATGGTTGTCATTCCGTTGATCATCACACACATAGGACTTTTCAGGACTCCTACTTTGAACACAGCTCAGAACTGTAGTCCCAGCAAGAAAGACTTACCACCTCTGGTTTTGACCCCAGCGTCTTCATTTTGACCAGAAAACAGTGTCTATATGTTAAACTCCTTCTGGGTTTTGTCAGATGAGCCAGTGCTCGTATGCTGTGCCATGGAGAAAAGAGAGAAAACATAGGAAAGATGGACACAGAGCAAGGCTTCCTCAGGAAAGCAGTTCAGTGCCTGCTGATGTCCTACAGACAAGCAATGACTGCACAGGAGCCTCGGCTGAGCCCTGGTGGGGCCTCAGCCATGCCTTCTACCTTTGGGTAAATGTTTGCAGGCCAGTAGCTCCTTCCCACAAGGCTCAGGTTCTGCTGACATGACCACCTCCAGGCCAGAAGATACAAACTGCCCTGAGTAAACCTGGAATGGCGGCTCAGGAAAAACAGCTGAGAAGCCTTTGAAAATGCTGACTTCCAAGATCACCATGCAAAGCCAATTAAATTAGAATCTAAGGGGAGAATGGATAGAGTAGTGACTCCACTATTTTTATTAAAAAAATAAAAACCAAGTGATAGCAATGTGCATACAGGAGTGAAAACAGTTTTAGAACAAAATATGAAACATAAATATCAAATAAAATGGCCCCCTAAAATCTATTCTATTTTAGAGAGGGAGATTAAAGTAAGATTTGCACACACACACACACACACACACACACACACACACACACATAGGAGATCACAACTCTTATTCATTGGTTTATATTTTCAAATAAATATTTGCTGACCACTAGGTCAAGGAATCACAGTCCATAGGGCATGCAAGCAGACAAAAAAGAAAAAAGTTGCGATTTACTTTCCTCATGGAGGAGAAAATTCAGAATGCTACAGGAATGTGGAGAAAGGCCCCCTTCTTGTCTTTCTTCTTCATCCTGGACCTCCTCCCTGGAGTACCACTGTGTTCCAGTCACTTTAGTGGCAGTAAAGTCTGGTGGCTAATAGAGCCTTCATCATTTGCAATCATTTACCAAAGTTATGTGCACCTGAATAGCATTTTCCTCTCTCTGGTTTAAAACAGTTTTCTAGAAAGAACAGGGAAACAAATTGACATTCCTAAACCCTACAGTTACTTGGAAACTTAGAAGTGACTGATTTTTAGATGAAAGAATGGGCTGACGTGGCCCTTGGCATCATCAGCATGAAGGAAACGCTATGGCAGAAACTCCTATGGAAAATGTCTGACCAGGGTACCACCACCAAGGACCACATGCAAAACTAGAGCTAGAGAAGACAAGGAAATGTTCAAACCCTGAACTACAGAAAGAGGAATATTCTATTGCTCTCAGGACAACAGCTGGCCCCACCATATCATCAGGGAGTGTGTTTGTTTCCCCCACTCCCCTTTTTTGTGCCAGTATTAGGGCTTGTCCCTTAGTTTTTTCACTCATGGCTGACACTCTACCACTTAATCCATAGCTCCACTTCTGGCTTTTTTTTTTTTGTGGTGAATTGGAGATACGAGTCTCACTGGCTTTCCTGCCTTGGGCTGGCTTCAAACCACAATCCTCAAATCTCAGCCTACTGAGTAGCTCAGATTTTAGACATGAGCCACTGGTGCCCAGCCTCACCATCCTGCTTTTGTAAATTCATGTGTGATTAAGCATTTTCCACAAAGAGAACAGTGAAACAGACCTCTCTTCTGAGATTGTTAAAGTGCACCTCTTTTGATTTTCTGTAATAAGCACCTACTTTATGATATGACAAAGAGGAAAATTGGATCTTAATATCAATCATGCTTCATAGAAGGCCGATGTTAGAAAAATCACCTGAACACTCTGGATACATTTCTTTGGTGTATAAATCTGAATAAGACTCACAGGAGTGATGTGTAGAGAGTGAAATGATGCATGTAAAGCTTCTAGGTTGGCATATAGGTATTCAAAGAGGATCACCACAATCCAGACTTAGACCTAGGATGTAGAAACTTTGCATTTCTTTTTCTCTCCTTCTCTCTTTCTTTCCTTCTCTCTCTTCTCTCCTTCCTTTCTCTCACTTTCTTTCTATTCTTTCTTTCTTTCTTTCTTTCTTTCTTTCTTTCTTTCCTTCCTTCCTTCCTTTCTTTCTTTCTTTCTTCCTTCCTTCCTTCCTTCCTTCCTTCCTTCCTTCCTTCCTTCCTTCCTTCCTATCCTGGGCCTTGAACTAAAATCCCAGGCAGTCTTCTTGAGATTTTATGTTCAAGGATCATGCTCTACCACATGAGCCACAGCTCTACTTCCAGCTTTCTGTGGTTAATTAGAGATGAGTCTCACAGACTTTCCTACCCCAGCTGGCTTCGTACCAAGATCCTCATATCTCAGCATCCTGAGTAGCTAGGATTACAGACATAAGCTACCAGGACCTGGCCAACTTTGAATTTCTAACTTCCTACGGCAAAGACACTTTCTCCTTATTTAATAAATAAAATGCCTGCATTTAATAAACAGTATCTCCCAAATCAGTACTGAACAGATACAGGATATTATCAGGAAGCTGACATACCAAACCTAGCTTTCTTACATATTGCCAATTTGTAAGACATCTGCAATATCCTGTCACTGTGTATCTATGGAGAATCCTCAATGTATCACTTTGAAACTAAGTTGTCAGAAAATTCAGGTAGTCAGAGAGGAGCATAAGACTTTCCTTCAAGATGAATAACGTTCTTCTGTTTCCAAAATCCTCAGATCCAGGTACACCTAGGTAAACTGAGGAAAATGTGCAGAGTAGGAAGCAGGGACTTGGTAAGAGGATGAAGCTAAGGACTCTGAAGGAGCATCTATCTCATAAATGAATGTTGGTACCCTGGGTGGGGACTGGAGTCTCTTGAATTAGAGGCATGGAAGAGCTGGCCCAAAACCATGGTACTTTTTTTTGGGTCAGGGGGCTTGAATTCAAGGTCTGGGAGCTGTCTCTGAGCTTTTTGCTCAAGGCTAGCATGCTACCACTTGGAGCCACAGCACCACTCCTGGTTTTCTGGTTGTTGACTGGAAGTAAGAGTCTCCTGCCTAGGCTGGCTTAAAACCAATGTCCTCAGATCTCAGCCTCCAAGTAGCTAGAATTACAAGTGTGAGCCACTGGCACCTGTTCCAAACCATGATAATTTACATGGCACATGCTCAAGTCAATATCCACCCATTTCTTCAATTCTTTCCATGGACTCTTTTTGTTTCAGAAGGACAAACTAACCACTTAGTGAAAGTGGATCTGACAGGGATTTCTAACATTTCACTGTGGCCAGAAATCAAGCTCTACCAGATGGAAGTATTGTTTTGTTTTTTGTTTTTTTTTATTTTGGTTGTGGGGCTTGAACTCTGGGCCTGGGCGCTGACCCTCAGCTCTTCAGCTCAAGGCGAGTGCTCTACCACTTTGAGCCACAATGCCACTTCTGGTTTTCTGGTGGTTAATTGGAGATAAGAATCTCACAGTAAATGCCCAAAAGTAGGATTGCTGGGTCATAGGTGAGCTCCATGTAGAGTCTTTTGAGGAACCTCCATACTACTTTCCAGAGTGGTTGAACAAGTTTACACTCCCATCAACAATGCAGTAAGGTTCCCCTTTTGGCCATATCCCCTCCAGCATCTGTTGTTACTAGATTTCCTTTTTTTTTTTTTTTTTAAACTTTTATGACTTATTTTATTCTACCAAGCTATTTAACGTAAAGTTACTTCAACAACAACAAAGATTTATTGGTCTTTACATTAAAAATGAAACTTGAAACTATAAAATTATATATAGTATTTAATGAAATATGACTGTAGAAAAAATCATGTAAGTCAGATTTATTTTTAAAGAAGTTTTTTATTGTGAAAATACTGTACAGAGGGGTTACAATTACATGAGCAAGGTAATGAGTACATTTCTTATCAAGCATTGTTGCCTCCTCCTTTGTTTTTCCCTTCCCTCCCATCTCCACAACTACATTCCCCACTCTCCCCTCCCCACTCCCCCCACCTAAATTGTAAAGTTCGTTTTTCGACATAGTGTCTTGTACATCTCATTGTTGCAATGGGTCAACCTGTATCCCTACTTAAACATTTTGTTTATTCCCTTCCCCTCCCCAAATTATACCAACATCAAATACAGTGTGAAAACAAAGGTTATACTGTGGGGGAGGGACATACAAAGCAACAAAAAAAAATCACATGGTACCTTATAAATAGATTAAAAAACAATAGCAAGAAAGAAAAAACCACTTGTGTCCTTATCTTGGGGTTCATTTCACTTAACATCATCTTATCTGATCTTTTCTGCTTGTCTCAGACATATACTAGTTATTGCAAATAAGGGAAACCATGGGACTTATATTTCTTTGCCACCTGGCTTACTTCACTTAACATGATTTTTTCCAAGTCTTTCCATTTTCCTAGCAAATGGGACAATGTCATTCTTTCTGATGGAGGCATAGAATTCATATATATGCGGTAGGGTTCCATTCTGGCCACACCCCTCCAGCATCTGTTATGTTATGCCTCCATCAGAAAGAATGACATTGCCTCATTTGTTAGGAAATGGAAAGACTTGGAAAAAAATTATATTAAGTGAAGTAAGCCAGGCCCAAAGAAACATAGGTCCCATGGTTTCCCTTGTTCCCTTGTTTGCAATGACTAGTATATGTCTAGGACAAGCAGAGAAGGTCAAAGGCCATGTACAAATGACCACATGAGATAATGTTAAGCAAAATGTATGCCAAGACAGGGACACAAGTGGTGTTTTCTTTCTTGCTGTTTTTAATGTACTTACAATGCACTATGTGATTCTTTTGTTTCTTTTGTATGGTCTTCCCCCACGGTATTACCCCTATTTTCACTGGATTTGATACTGGTGTTCTACATCTTGTATATACATTTTTGTAATTTGGGGAGGGGAAGAGATATCGTGGAATGCTTAAATGGTGATGCAGGTTGACCCATTGTGATGATGAGATATACAAGACACTATGTTGAAAATGAACTTTACAATGTCAGGGGTGGGGCAGGAGGGGTTGGGGAGGTGGGGAGGGAAGTGATGGTAGGGGGAAAACAAAGGAGGAGGTAACAATGCCCACTACGAAATGCACTCATTACCCTATTCATGCAATTGTAAACCCTCTGTACAACATTTTATATAGAGAGAGAGGGGGGAGGAAGAGGAGAGAGAGACAGAGACAGAGACAGAGAGAGTCTCATGGACTTTCCTGCTGGGACTGATTTTGAACCATGATCCTCAG